ATATATATATATATATATATATATATATATATATATATATATATCCTTCCCACGTATAGAAAAAGTGAATACTCAATTGGCTCTATGATTGATATGAAAAGTTGCTTGACACGCAAAGAGTATTCAGTTACTTCGTCCGCCACTTACTTGAAAAGCTCATTCAGAAAGGAAGAAAGCTGCCGGCGGAGTTTGATAAACGTTCGACGATCTGTATTTAGATATCGCGCACTAACACGGAATATCGAGCAATAAATCGCGACGCCGTACGGAGGTGAAATATTCGCACAAAACGCGACCGTCTCCTCTATTTACTGCTATCGGATAAACATTCGGGCAAGAATCTGACAGGTCGGACGGTGGATGGCGTCGCGCTTCCGCAGCGAAGTGGCGTACTCGAACTACACTTTATTTATCTTCCGGACTCGTGTATAGCACTCTGTTGGCACGGTGCCCTCGTTGCATCTGCGTTATTGCTCGTTGTCGGGCACAACAGATTTCGTATTGGACACCCTTCGCAATGTATCGACTCCCGCGTCAATCGCAATGAGCGTAGCCGATTTAATGGACCAAGAATGATATATGCAACAGACGCCCGATGCGCTCGAATCGCATCTCGGACCCGCTTAATTGTTGCGGATGTTTCTCGCCCACGAGCTGTCTCCACGCTCGGTCACGCGACAATCAACTTCGAGAACGAACAATCAAGAGACACCCTCCCCTCCCCCCTTTCCCCGATAATCTCCGCGAGCTAGAAGAAGAGAACGTCGTTCCAGACAGATTCGGAAATCACCTGTTTCGGAACCCCCGACAATTCCGAGAGCTATTTCGAGACCTCGTTCTCGCCGAAAGCGCCGACGCGAAAACCTCCGTCGCGTCTTAAACGTTCACACTTAAGTGCATAATATATAGTTGAAAATGCGAATGGCGTGTCTCGTAGATTTCTTGGGAGATTCTCGATTTCACTCGCGTCAGTTTTCCCCGCGAACGCGGAGGCGGTCCTGAAGAAACCCCGCGCGAAGCACTTCGACACAAGTTCCTCCCCGGGCCAAAGTTGAAGTCACTCACCGATTGGCACGTTGACAGCGAAGAGAACGACAAGGGCGCGATGGCAGAGCATTGTGCGCTGCGGTGAGAAAGAGAGAGCCAAGGGAATCGTCCGTCGATGGCGGCAGGCTGCTCCCTTTATCTACTTAACCCCGTCATCTTCTGCGCGGACCTCCGTTTCCGGTGCTCTGACGCATAGCATGCCTGAAACAATCGCGGAGTTCGATCATTTACTCGATCGGGCAGCGTCACGGGGCCGCCGTTGTTCGCCGGAACGACCGCTTTATCGTCCGTTTCCAGCGAGCGAACTTTCGGCTCTCGTCGCCGTTGCTCCCTGCCGCAGCTTTGCATCCATCCCCCTGCGAGAGCGCGGCGGCATCGTCGCGCGCGCGCCGCGTTCTCCGGTCGAGCGTATCGTTTCGCTTCGTGACGTTCATCGATCGTATCGCGACGAACTTTGTTAAGAGCACGCGCGCGCCTCTCCGTTAATTTCCCACCACACCTTCGAATAAGAAATTACTTCGACGTCTGTTTTCGGCGGACTCGCGCGGTTGCTATCGCCGCGTCCTTCTTCAACCAGATTTAATATATAACAGACCAGAGAAAGGCGTATTAAGGACCATTAAATTTTTGTCAAGTGTATTTTTTAATATATATTTGCGGTTTTTACAAATCAACTCAATCAAATATACACGATAAAAACATTGTAGTAAAAATTATAGAAAATTTTGTAATCTTGGACTATACAGAATAATAGCCAAAATTATTCTTTTAAAAAATGTATGCACATTTGATTCTTTGCTACAAAATTAATGTAATCACTTGAATGTCTTTTATACCGTATATATTTGATAGATCGTCCAATTTATCATTGGTATTATTTATTGCATTATTTTCAAAATTATTCCTTCGTGAAAAGATTCCATAAGTATTCAATATAGTAAAATGGATCAAAGTATTGAATTAAAGCCGAAAACATAGAATGTTATTATTGCTTTATCTAAAGAAAAGTTTTCTACACGCGAAATAGCAGCAGCAGCGTTAAATTCGATAGTAAAATTCCTAAGAAAATACCAGGAAGCGGGAAATTTAGAGTGAATGAAGGATAAGGTAAAGAGTCGCTGTACAACTGCAACAGACGACCGAGTTCTCAACGGGATTTCTGTCTGAAAAATCGCAGAGTAAAATGAATTAAAACCTGAGTCGGAAGAGTCATTTGGAGTCGTGTTTAGCAGTCGTGTTTAGCTGTTTCCAAAAGCGCTTGTGTGAATACGCTTGTGTAAATTTATTGGGTGATGATCAATGCCAATATTTCTATAGTACCACTAAATTTCAATAAAGTCAACCTTTTTAAAATATTTTATGAAAATGGATATAACTTTAATGTGAAATTTTACTGCAATTTTTTCTCCGTGCAGTTTATAAAATATTAGAGAATTTTTCTAAATTTTTAACAGTTTGACCTAAAATGTCCTGACATTTTATTGGTCTTTTAATATTCTCAGTATTGCAGAAAGGAAGAGGACTTCACTGGGAGAAAAAATTGTTGACTAAACTAAAATTATAGCTGTTTTTTATCAACTATATTTTTTGTAGTAAAATCGTTATAGTAACATGCATGCAAAGTTGTTATCACTAACATTATAGTAGAAATTAAAAAAAATAGTTTTCTTGACCATAAATTGTAGTAACTATTTTTATATGTGATTTTTCAAATACCAAACATTCTTTTCTCAATGTTAATGTACCTTTCGGGCATAACCAAACGAGTTTAGACAATGTGTATATTTGTTCCTGCTATCTTTGAAGGGCGAGAGGCACGTGTGCGAACGCGTAAGCACACATCTCGCTTTAATATTACGTTAATACACTTTTACGTTCGATGAAGCTCAAATGACGGCGCGCACGCTTCCATTAACTATACCATTACGATACTATTTACGACGAGCGTTTTACACAGTAATAAACGTCGCGATGAATTTAATTACGTCGCTGTTGCAATTTTGACGAGGAACCCGTCAGTTAAAACAAGTTATTTTCGCGAATTTATAAATTATCACACGGACGCCGGGGAGAATTTACGGGGAGAGGCGGGGGCGACGACGGGAGAGAGAGAATGCAAATAGCGCGTTTGTCACGTTTATGTAAGTACGTTGTCACGTATATTCGGCGATAAATTGCTCCTAATGCATTTCCGCTTCAGACGATTTCTGTCGCCGCGGGAGAAATTAATCACCCACGCGCCCGTCGTCCATTATTTTATGACTCGCGCGCGTATGCGCGAGTCGTGCGTATATATATATATATATATATATATATATATATATATATATAT